GGTTGCTGATTCGAATATCTGTATGACTAGTTCTAATAAATCCCAAAATTTTGTTTCACAAAAATTGTTCCCGAAAGGCCGGAGCCAAATAAGAGAAGCTATAGTAGATTAAATCTAAAATGTTCTAACGAGGGTGGGCGCTAGGTTAAGATTAATGGAATGTAGGTAGTTACTAGAAATAGAAAAATTGCTAATACAAGACTGTTGTGAGAGCGAACATTGGATGATACAGTTTTGAATGAGATTTACATTGAATGGGTAAGAGGGGAGGGGGGGGATACGATGTAGTTGTGCAAGGCAGGTGAATAACTACTATAATGGTAGATTATCCATCATCTCCTATCTAAAGAAACTACTCGTCTACGAAAGATTTTTTTTTTAGAAAAAATCAGCTACTAAGAGCGTTCTCGTCTCTTCTCTCCCTTTCTTATGACCAAAGATAAATCAGCTATCATATCCATGTAATGATGTAAAACCAAAACTTAGCTTCTTCTGTCAAAATGCTATCTAAAAAAACACTTGATTATCTTTTTGGACAGTCCAAAGTGGAAAAAAAAGGTAATCCGATCCTCTTCGATGTTTCCGAGACTCACAGCGATGAAGTGGCTTTGTTAAGAGTTGGTTTCTGGATAAGCTTTCTTGGGATTTTCTTTCCCACCCCCTTCCTTTAAGAGGCTACTGTGAGCTTCTAGGGAACGTGTGCATTATCCGGTAAACAGCTAAAGACAGATCGGTGTGAGACTGATAGGAATCAATTATTCATGAAAACGCAGAGTTTCTTGGTAGTGGTATTGGCGTTCTGCGGACTGATACAGTTTTGCTCCGTGGATTTGTTCTTGTCTTGTGTAAGCGGGGTAAATAACTCAGATTCTGATAGAGTGATGAATGTGCTGAGTTTTAGAATTAAAAGCCTTAATTTTTGATCTGAAAACAGTTTTCTGTAACTTGGGGGTTTTTTTTCACAGGTTATTTTAAGGACTTGGAAATATGCTGCTGTGATTGTGGTCTCCATCTTTGCCCTGGAGAAAATACAATACTTGATTTGTTCACACAACCAAGTAAATTTCCCTACTTAGTACAAAAAAATGATGGCTGGTTAGTAGATATCTCAAACGGGCAGGCCTATTTAGGTAAACAAATAACTCCTACAGTCGTACTACTGTGAAGAGACATCGCAAAAGAAACATAGCATCACCAGTCTCTTAGTATTCTAAAGCTTACAATCAGTACCCACATCTCACATCGGCTCATTCAGTATCCGGTCATCAAAGCCTCTCCCTTCCCTCATAGTCCACGACACTACATGCCGGCCACTCCAACGCAACACTACCAACCTTACTCGCTAGACCACACATCTGCAGCTATACCTACACTGCGTCTGGATATGCATGCGTGCATCCAAATTTGGATCCCACACTCGCCACCTACACAGGCATGCCGGACGTCAGATGACCGTGTGTGCGGGCGATGGCGTTCTGCGCCATGAAGCTAGGTCTCTCACTTGTCGAAGCTAAAAGGCGCCACGCTGGCAGCTTCTCGCCCCCAATAAAAGACACGTGAAGCGGCGGAAGGAAACGAGAAGGGAAGGGAAGGCGGAGAAACGCGCAAATCATCTTTTTTCTATTCAGGAGGAGGTGTGTATGATTGGAGAGAAGGAGAAGGATCAGCGAATGTACCAAAGTGGTGTGGGGATTTCTTGTTTTTTTTCCCGAGCCACACAGTGTGATGTGATATGGTGCAATGATGCAGGTAGAGTTTTACTGCTATACGAAAGACATGGTCTGATTGGATCGAATAACCAAAATAATTGAGCATAAGCATGGTTCGACAACTCAAATGGTTGTGCTGTTGCGGGCATCCTACACTCTGCATGCATGCATGATGTTTCGAGTGCGGCGCCACATGCGGTAGATGGTGTGTGTACATAATACAAGTAAGCCTCTCACTATTGGATCCAGAAAAGAGGCGACTCAGTTCATCTAAATATGGGAGGATAGACGGCGAATCAAGCGGTAGATGGTGCACATCAGTACCTGCAGAGGTATGCACGGCTATCGAGTTCCGCTAAAAGCAAGTGTAGTGCAGCACAGCCGGATGCTCCATTCGGTCGCACCGACATCGGAAATCGCGGCCCACTCCATGTTTGTACATTGATACGTACGTACGTACGCATGTTGGATCCATGTAAGTAAGTATTCTATATGAAAGACCAGGGAGAGTTCCATCCGTGATCAGCACTACGCTTATCAGACGGGAGGCTTGATGACAAGCTTCACGCACACTTGCGTCGTCCATGACTCACTTGGAAAGAAAGAAAAAAGCCATGGGCAACCATCGTGAGATATGCTGGACACCGATCAACAAGGACTAGAATGCATGCGGCGCCACCGTCGCTCAAAGGAGGTGTCAGCGAGAGCCGGCGGAACCGCCCAAGGGCAAGCATCATCGTGTCTACAAGAAGCACAAGGTAAGTACACCATGTGCAGTTAGCAAGACGCTGCTAGTAGGCCCAAGCTCCCTCGCCCAGCAGCGGACGGTCCTTGACGGTGAGAATGGCGATGAAAGGATCAATACGTTGTACGGCGAGCGCGGTAAGACAAGACGGCGAGGAGGACGGCGAGGAGGACGGTGCGTCGGACATAAGCGAGTATTTTATACGACTATCCGAGATCGATTGGCTCCAAGCGTAAGTAGTATGGGTAAGTAAGTATCTACTAAGTAGTATAGTCATTAGAGTCGGTGAGCATCATTGGGTAGGGGGGGGCGGGCAAATTGTGCCACCTTGCGATCCTAAGGGCTTGGGGATAATGTTGCGGGCGGGCAGGGCACCCAGGAATGCAGCGTGATTGATCGATTTGGACACTTTTGTGAGCGGCTACCCGCCGCACTGGACCAGAAGCGATCGGTGAACCTTCTTGTTCGCATGTTTCCGGTCTGGAACGTAAGCCAACTAGAGGGCCAAAAACACGGATTTGTCACGGACGTGGATGGAGGCATGTAGATACCAGTATGGGTTGGAAGGATGGTATGTGTGCATGTGAAATGTATATGCGACACGGACCCGAGCCAGCGTTACAGCATGTTGGAGTACCTCGTACTACTAGGGGTGGGCGGTTCACCAGGCACGGAGTGAGCGATAGAGATATGCAGGTGGTGTAGGGTAGCGAGAGGCCGGTAAGACGCGTATGCGGGAGGAATCCTTCAAGACGGCAGCATTGCACGGCAGTGACGTGACAATGGACCACGGTCTCTTCAGTCGCGGCAAACGCTGATTGTTAAGCATAAAAGAGGCAACAGAGACAGAGTGCGGAAGAGAGGCGCACGGAAACGGAAGCATCAGATTCCCGGCCAATGGCAGGGCCTTCGCAGACAATGTCTTGTCTGGGCTTTAGCGCGCAGCAGTTGGAGCTGGCGCGTGATATGCTTTGATTGAAGAGAAGCATCATCCGCTTAGACGCATGTGTAAGTAAAGTAGTTATGCGAGTCGTCGGGTTAGCAATGGCGTGTTCTGGGGCGCGGGATGTTATTCTTTTTTTATGCAGTAGCGTGCAAGCTGCATAAGCACGCGTGAAGGAGCATGCCGTCGAGTACATATGAGCACATGTATATAGACACGTGAGGGAGAGCGAGTAAGAGAGCACGATAGTGTGAGAGGGAAGAGTGTCTGGGCTAGAGGCGAACACGAGCGTTTCCGTGCTACCTGTCATTGGAATTACATGAGAACAAAGTTAGTTGAACACGCTATACTGTTTCGGGACTAGCCCCACGTCGCTTGTGCACACGCCCGCCCTGCTCCCATGCACATGGCTAACCGCCAGCCACGACGACTCGACACTAGCCAAACCGTTTCGACATGAGCACGCATGTGCCAGGACGGGAAAAGAAGCCCTACTTTGAGAACGACGATCTGTTCCTGAGCACTCGGTCTAACCGGCAGTCGCTTGCCGGACGAGGGACGAAACATAGCGCGGTTTTGCGGAGTCGGTCCGATGGCCACAGATGGAGAGAGCGCAAGACAGTGAGATGGAGCATGGGTGGATGATGAGCTGGAAGGAACCGCGACGTGGGATGGCATCATGTCCATGACTGGCATGGCATGAGCCACTAAGTATACTCGCCACTGTACTGCCACCAGATGAACCCACCAGACTCACTGCCCACGCGCCAGGAGCGCGATGTCGCGCCCTGGCGAGCATTAGTCTACTTGCCTTGCCTTGCCTTGCCTTGCCAGCCAAGGCCAAGTCACTTGGAGCCAGCCCCCCGCTATTCAACCCACTAGACGACAATGCTCATGCTTCACCGGCTGGTCATTGATGGCTGGCTGTCTCAGCTCAGGTGCGTGCGCACCCGCCATCTGCGTCAACGTCCGCTAACACACATACTTTTGATCGTTGTCCATGAGACCACGAACAACGTATGACAAGTGGCACGACCAACAACGTGCTAAGTTTTTTTCACTTCTTCCATTTAACACCCACCGGAAGATTGTCTAAAACCTAATAGTGCTCACCCCCCCAACTGACATGCCTAACCCGCCCTATTCATCAACTGCCTTTGCAAAAACATCATTTTGGAACGATCCGTCATTTATCTCACCATGCTAAGGGCTTCCGAGATCGTGGCGGAACTAGTCATCTCTCTTTCTCTTTGCCTAACTGTGTAGTGTATCACTGGGCGCGGCGCATGTCACCGCCTAATACTATAACCACCAAGAACTCCAGGAAGCTGCCGTTTTGCTGACCCAATCGACACACGTCTAGAATAACTCCAAGACAAAAGCGCTTTCCGCAAGGCTTACCCGTTCCACCTCATAGTACTCAGCAGTAGTACCATATACCCAGAACCAGGCCCAGGGTTTGCCATGTCGTCTTCAAAGTGCGGAAAACTCCAACAAGGGTTTCCCTCACGGTCCCCCCTAGTCCCCTCACCCAAGCAAGCCCCCCCTTCCCCCACCCCTAGCCTGTCAGTGATATCACCTCAGAGGAAGCTTTTGCGAATCTTGCTAAAAAAAAATTAGCAAAGAAGGGGAGCAGGCGAGGGCAGGAAAAAAACGCTCCGACGTTAGACGGGCCGACCCCAGAGATAAAGCTTGAGACACTTTCGACGTGAACCGTGCAATTGGTATCCAAAGGGGGGACAGTGATAGCCCTGTTGAAGCCCAATGGGGGGTTGCGAGTCAGGCCAGGTGTTGCATGTTGAAGCGCGTCACGTGGCATTCGCCATCAACAACGTGTTTCGTGACTTGGGCGGCATGGTAGGCGGGTTTGGCGTTAGCTCGCGCATTAGTGTGCCGGACATGGTGGTTGCACTATCCCCTTCGTGTCTCGCCAGTTCATAATCGTCATGCACATGTGATGGATTTTCGAAAAACATTGGAACGCGTGTACATTTGACTAGGTATGCTTGGACGCTTTTTTTTTCTGTCTCTCCCCCTTCTCTCTCGCATACTAGAAACCCATTGCCTCGGGTCCCTTCCTTCTCTCCCTCTTGCCTTGTTTGTTGCCTTCTAAGTACGCTGTTCGGCAACCTCCGAGCTCGTACTCGCAATAACAATGTACCGGGATCACCGTCATCATGCATGTTTGCGGAGAGCGCGGAACAAGCACAGCCGCACTCGACCTGCCACCATCCATGCCATGTCAAGCCCCAGGATCCTAGTACCACCTCAACTGTCTCGCTGCCACGATCAACCATGTTGGCCCCAAGATTTCCAAGCACGTAATGTGCTCACGGTTTTGTAATCTTCGTGTTCGAGAAGGCTGACCGTGCCATGGATGTGGTACTGTCGCAACTATTGCCCTGGCTGCGCCATCGTGAAAGAGGCATTGCGGTACGATGCTTCATCCATGTGATGCCTGTCTTCTTCTCGCATCGACTTTCCACCCCCAGCCCTGACCTCATCCAACAAGCACGTGCGATACCCCCCAATCTCATCGTGTTTTTTTTACATCGGAAAGACTACCGGGAGATAGTCGTTCGTTGCTGGCCTTGCGAGCTTGGTGGCTTGGTGGCCCTGAGTCGTAGGATTTCAGTCTTGGACCCTGGTTCCGGACTCGTTTGGTGGATCTTGACAGGCCGTTTTCAAAACTTGGTTCCAATTTTTTCTGCAAATGTGCTCTCGTCGTTGCTTCAATCACTCGAAATTTCTTTGGGTGGTCTCCGTACGGAAAGTTGAACACAAAAAATTGAATGGGCCAAAACTATACCCTACTACCAAATATACATGGGCCTGTGGCCTGGGAACAAGGAAAAAAAAGATATGCGCTGGACTTCATGCTCTGCTTCTGGACGTCCATAAAATCTATTGCTTGTACATCATGGGATCCACAGGGTAGTTTTGGATGGAAAACCTGGGATCGTATCCTGTTGCATTGACGCCCATCTGGTGGTTTTGCATATGGCTATGCGATGTGGGAATCTGCATGTTGCTGTGTCCTACAATTTGCGACCGTGACTGTGACATGGGCGCTTCGTATGGACCAGGTGTCGTCGAGGTGCTTCTGTTGGCAGTGCTCGTCGAATGTGAAGTGCTGTGTGAGGTGTCGTACAGCGACAGATCACCGACGTGGGTGGTGGGGGCAGGAATCATGGATTGCTGAGTCGTGTTGAAGGGAAGTTGGGCACCAGTTTGAGCGGCCAGCCGTCGAATGAGATCGTTGGAATGGTACGAGGGTGAAGTTGAGGCGGGGCTTCCCGAAAAGTCTTCGGCGACGTTGGAGGGAAGGGTCCCCGAACCAGTAGCATTAAGGCCGAGTGTCGATGCGGGAACCGTCTGGGGGAGGTTTAGGGATCGGGGAAGCGGTAAATTGGGAAGGACTTCGGAGAGTTTGGCCAGTAGAAGAGGAAGATATCGCGACTGTCCTCCACGCAGTGTCGAGATGAGTGTCAAGAACCGCGATACGTAGTCGCGAGGTCCAAGGGCAAATGCATCTGGTGAGAAGGATGTGCAAGCGACCACGTCAGCCAGACAACAGGCTATGTCGAACAATTTCTCGATCTGCAATCCTGTTAGCTAATGACTGACCTGACAGATAGGGTAAAACGTTGCAAGGGTGGGATGTGCAGGGACGACCAGGGGGGTGAGGTCGAGGGGGGGCTAAGCTAGTCAGGGCGTGGACGTCAGAGATAGACGTTGGCTAGCGCGGCCCTAGTAAGATCGCAATATGACAGGGATGTCTGCACGAGACGGAGGGGCTGGAGCGGGGATGAACTCCAATGTCAAGACAGGAACAAGCATGCAAAAAGAAAATGAATCTACTAACCAAGCCAACACCGTGAACTTCCATGGATTGCTGCGAGAACTGGTGTGAGATTGTGAGCAGGTCGCGGGCAATTTCGATCGGGTACTTGAACGTGAGCGGCACGTCATTCGAAACGCTGCTTACGAGCCCTTGACAAACACTGAGCTGCCAGGTCTGTGACTTGAGCCACTGCTGAGTGATACGAATTTGCACCTCTTGCGCCTCGCTGCATTCGAAATATGCAGGCACGGCCTCTGAAAGCTGCGTCTGCACCTGCGTTATCCATGCAGCGCTCACATGTGTGTTGTGTACCCGATTCCACAGGTTGATAAAGGTGTCGTCGATAATCTTGAACATGTTGATCATGAGTTCCAGTCCAACCGCAATTGGCCGATCCGTGGGTACTTCATCTAATTGAGGAGGATGTATGGTGGGGTGTAATGTGATAGGTCGGTGTTTGTGTAGAGCGTAGGTTCTGGCAAGCCGTTAGAAAATGGAGCAAACGCAGAAGAAAAGTTCAGCGCGCGCGCGTAGACATACCGTTCGGCAATGAACAAAAGCCAGTAGAGGACACGCTTTCGGGAGACATCTAAGGGATCGTGTTTGTAGGTCTCCTCATCATGCATACCCAGCAGTTGCGCGTGAGTTGTGGCTTCTCGGAGATATGTCCAGGCTGTATTCTCTCGCGCCAGTCCAAAGTAGCAGCCACTGTAAAACCACGAGGTAAGAACGCTCGTGTGCGTGGGGTTCTCGCGGTGGTCGTAGCCTTGTCGCACGCGGACTGATTCTTCTAGGAGTATGTGACCAACACCAACATTTGACATGTGAGCCATCTCTGGACGAGGGAGCACGCTGACGGATGGTTTGTGGTTGGCCTGAATCATGACGTATGCACACAGCGCAACAATCATACAGTACGATTCGGTGGAGCGGTCCATGCCAACGGCTGCTTCCTGCGCCCTTTGACGGTGCAGGACAGGCTCTGAGGGGTAAACATGGTTGAAGAAGTATTCTATGCAGCTCTCGACGAGAGCGGGGGGTAACAGCCCTTGGGTGCGGGCAAATGTGGCGGGCAGTGAGCGTCCGTCAAAGCCGAGATCGGTAGGGTAACCAGCAGCGAGCTGAGCGTTGCGCTGGGTTTCGCGGAGTTCAGAGAGGACTTTGGCGCGGCTGCCCTTGGGACCTTTCTTTTGCGGAATGGCATTGTATGTGCATGCAAGACCAGCAGAAACACAATTCTTGCATGGCGCGGTGCCTTCTCCGATGCACTTGACCTTTCTTCGGTGGCAGCTGTACAAGGGCGAGAGTGTGAGTGTGGGAGCAGCGACGTTGAGTGTACCGACGGTACGTACCTATCGCAGGCTCGCTTGACCGGAGCAGTCGAGGTAGGATTGGAAGCCATGAGGGAGTGACAAGCTAGTGTGGGAACGTCTCGTCATCTACTTGATGAGGGATGCAGTCGCCGAGCGGATCCGCTGGTTCCTTTTAGTACAACAGACATGTTGCGCCTACATTCGGGGAGATACCGTAGAAGGTTCCTTGTGTCATTGTGCTTGAATGAACGCTCATTCGCACCTGGTTAACCTGGACGATTGAAGAGCCCAAGCGTCGAAAGTGCATATTAGACTCAACTAGTTAGCATCACTGGACCAGCCGGGATGGGGCTGGAGGCTTGCGAGTCCAATGACCTAGCCTGGAGAAGCGGCCTGAGTCCCTGGTTCCACGGACTGGGGAAGGAGTCTGCAGGGCAGCGCGTCGGAAGCCGGTTTAACGCTTACCACACGGCCGCAAGCCATGGGCTTAGGCGGTCTGCTGGCTGGACCATGCTTGGAGAAACATCCCAGGCTGACCGCTGGGCATGCGGCAGCGATGGCACGGTCGGTTCCTGCCAGCGACGGGAGCTTCATGCTAGTGTGATTTTAGGGCGACCTGTAACTGGCCGAGGTTGCCCCGCTGGGCAAGTAGCCCGTAATGGATGCCCTGGGTTGTTGCGATATTTTTCCCGAACATCGAAAAGGCTCATGTCGCGGTATCAAAAAGGTGCTGAGCCCCCTCGGGGCTGTCTGCAGCGCAGCCTGGCCTGGTCCCTGGCTACAGCAGACGCTCTGCTCTGCTCATCCGCGCTCGCGCAAAGGGGAACGAACGTCACAATCTCATTTCGCCGTGAGGTGTCAGACGCTGCGCAAGTGCCTAACAAGAAACATAGGCTGAAGTTAGAACTGACCACCTCACTCCCTGACTGATGAACCGACACACTGCTTGGGCAGCGTGCGTGTAATGGGAGAGACACGGGTTGATAACGCCGACAACGGCTTGCTCCATTGTCGAGGTTTTGTGTGGCGACATGGGGCCGTCGATACTTGCCGCAGTTGTCGTCATGCAACCCAACAATTCGACGTAGCTCAAAAGCACCTGACATGGAGAGACGGTCGAGTGTGCTGGACGTGTACGTAGTGCGTAGTAGCAGTAGCAGCCATGAATCGATCGTCTGTGTACGTATCAGACGAGCAGCTGCTGTCCACCGAGGCGCAGCAGCTGTCGCCGCTCGTTTGGTAAAGAAGCCCAGCAAAGATCCTTGATGGGCATAGCGAGCGGGCGAGCGAGGAGAGGTCTCATAGGGTCGCCGCGTTCCGTTGCTAGGCGTCGTTCGAACATTGTTTCTCTGTCTGTATACGGGACTGCGAACCCAAAAGGTCTGTCGCGCCGCTGCGGCGCTGTCCTGATAACTTATATCTTCTTCTCTAAAGGGCCTTTTGCGGTCTCCACCATCCGATCGCGACATTCAAGCTTCCGAGATGCTGCCGGCAGCGATCAAAATTGGTACAGGACCGTCGCGACCGCGAATGGGAGAGGCTGGACCCGCCTCCAGAAGTAGTGCTGCCACCGTCCGGTTACGTTTACGCTAGACGTTACGGCGAATAGAATTTGCAAAAGGCGCGAGAAGTCCTGAAAGACCGCCCGCGTTGTGTACATTTGCATGTACATACGTATATTCATGGTGTTGAGGCTTTGTAGATCCGGGGAACTGGCGACATGTACCTCCCTCGCTCATGCCTCGCTAGCGGCTGCGCCCGTGGTAAGATTCGTGATGCTTGGCACGTCCTCCGCAGAGCCCAACGTCACCCGTTACTCCTCTACACACTGCCCTCTTGACCATCGAAATATTTCTGTCTACAATTCAAGGGCGGTGGCTTGCTTTTGGGTTGTCCAATCCAGACTACTCGGCTCACTGGCGCTTCATGCAACCATCACTGCCCCGCGTCGCCGCTAGCATTCCAAAACGTCGTCTCATGATCGTCTTGAACCCCTTCACCACATGGCTGATGTGCTGTAAGGGTATGCATTGCTCAACGGGCGAGTCATGAACGGGAGGGAGCGCTGGAGCCCAAATATACGCTGTCACCTATGAATAGCAGTGACATTCCCGCGTCTTCCTACTTGACATGCATCGGCCGCCTTGCACTACACCGACTACTCATATCGTTGTGTCATCCTGGGGTCGGGCAATCTATTGTTCTAGGCGAGCCCTCTCTGTACTGGTAGCAGATGTGTATCTAACCTCTGTGTCGTGTGTGACAATTGTCTCTAAGTGTGCCGTTTTTATTTGTCCGTACAGCGAACAATGACCGGATTCCAGTCAACGATCGGCGCCACACGCGACTCCAGCAGGCACTTTTTATTATTAATCCCAACCAAAATATTAATTCCTGTGAAGTAAACTCAACTAGTCTGCAATTTTCAACCGCCTCAATAGCGGAAACAGTTCCATGAAGACGAGTGTACTTCGCCGTTCAGCTCTCATACACAAACGAACCCTCAAACTTCGCAAAGTCTGCCGTCTTAGGCTTAGCGAGCCTGTCGCGTGTGTACCACGCAAACTCCCATCTCATCAGCCACAAAGCTGTTACACTGAAATGCTTCTTGTGTGTACTGTAATTACATGGCTCTACACTGTTTCATATGTACTCGATAATACCACCGAGCCATCCCAGGCTACGTCATAGTCGTATGAGAGTTCTGCTGCAGACACTCCTTCACCGCTCCAGAAGCCTTCGGGACTACCTTGTTATCTCCGATATAATTCCGCTATGCTCGCTGTTACGGACCACATTGTAGACTCCGAGTAACATGCTACAGTGTTTATCTTGGCGCAGGATACTTAATGGATTGTTGTACAGACAGAGCTATGTACGGGTAGTCGCAAGTGGATCAACCTGTTTCCTATTCTGGTCTTACCTCCGCTTCGTATTTCGTGATTAGCTGTTCAACGTTCTATCGTCAAAGATGGCGGGCCGACCCCTCGCATTTTGCTGCCGAGACTACCTTTGGCGAGAATGTTAAAATAGGGTTCGGATGATGACCTTGAATACCCCTGTGAGGATCGACAAGAGAATGAGGTATAGCCTTCAAGAACAGAACTGTAGTAAGAGAGGTGGATGATGGAGACAAGATTAATAGAGGAGGAAGTAGTAGCCAACCGAGGCAGGACTATCATCACATGCATGATATAAAAGTAGCTCTCGCACGTCCAAATACCCCCCGCCAAGCAGGTTTTGTACTATCTCTTTTTGAACTAAGATATACTGTGCTGAATCTAACCTACAGGCACACAGTATTATATCTGTCTAAGCTGTCTACCTCTCACACATAATAGTGACCTAATCCAAAACGACAAGAACAAGCCATATCAAAATTATTTACCAGACCTTATCAGGACTTCAACATGCTAACCAACATTGCCTGAACCAACAAACAGCACAATCTACCCTCCCACCCGTGCTCCTAGAACACACACCTACGACCCACTCCCTTTAGAAGCAAGTGATGAAACCTCACACTATCAACCCCTATACATCACTAATCACAACCCAAGAACCAATCAATTAGAAACATCATCTGTATAGCAACATAAACAATGGTATTTTATACAAAAAAACAACTAATTCAATCTATGAACAAGTGCGCAACATAGGGCGCCAATAGATCAAAAAACAACCGCTCAGTCATATAACATGCCAAACGTCACTTCTCACTCACTTTACATACATAAATACACTATCATGACGCCGGAAAACAATGCAGGTCGCACACATACACATATCTGTCGTAAGCGACTACTCTTTTTTTCTCGTCTCGTTTCATGCAAAAAAAATTCAACAATTAGGAGAACTCAACTCGACTTCCGCCTAGCCTTGCCTGCTTGGCCTGAGCTCTTTCTGCTCTCCGTCTACGCCTGTTGGTGTCGTAGTTGCTAAGATCCGTCTCTGTGCCGTGAATTTGAGTGCCCGGGGGGCTGCTTAGGATAGTATCTCCCGCACCTGGCATGGGAGGTGGAGAAAGATTGCTGGGACCGGGTTGGTCATAAGCTGCAGATGGGCCGGCAGGAGGTGGGGGAATGGTAGCCTCAGGCATGCGCAGAGGTGTTGAGCCAGGCATTGGGGGTGGAGGAGGTATGCCAGCTTGTTGTGCCATCTCCTGCGCCTGCGCCGCTTCCATGGCTTCAGTCCTGCGCCAGCGGTCGCCCCCAATACCGCTCAATGAACTAACACTTCCAGCGCGGTTCTTTCGTTGACGATCCTTTTTCCTTGCTTCACGCTCTGCAGCTGCCTCCTCTTCGTTGAGTCGTCGCAAAGTCACATGGCGTCCGTCATTATGCATCTTGACTTTGACAGATACAGGGGGAGATGCAACATCGTCTCTGCTGCCTCGGCGTCGATGCTTGGATGGCGAAGCTGCCGAGATGACTGTGCCTCCACCAGCTGCGTCGCCCGCAGTACGACGTCGTTGATGATGACGGCCTCCAGGGGAGTCATAAGCTTCTGATCCAGAGTCCGACAAGACACTATAGACACCAGCGCGAGGGGGTCGATGAGGGTTCACTGATGGCGTGACGGTAGATTCCATGGGCGGACGGGCTACGGAGGGTGTGATACCGGTAATATCGCTGTCTGAAAGTATAGTCGATGGAGGTCGTCCGCCCCTACGCGGGGGTGTGCTATCAGCACCATACTTTTTGCGACGTTGGCTGTTCATGCGAGCGATGCGTTCTTCTTCCAGGTCTTGCTCCCTCATTTCTTCCACATGCTCGTCCTCCCTCTTCTTGCTACGTTTGCTCAGAGAGTGCTTGAGAAAGCCGAATACACCGAGAGTAGCGACTCCCTCCTTCAGTCCGTAAGAACGATCCTTGGGCCTCATGTCGGTCTCGTCGCTGAAGCTGGTCCGACTATCGAAAGAGTCTATAGATGTTACACTTCTCGTTTGGCGATGGTTCGATCGTAGGTTGCTTCCAGTCATTGCTGAGACTTGGGTATCACGTTCCTCGACACGACGCCAGTCGTCTCTACGATTTGCTGGAGATCCGGGGGCGCGTCCTTCTTCTAGCCTCGAAATATCGGTCTGAGTGACTTCAGAAGGGCCCAATCCGCGGCTGTAGCTGAAATCGCTTCCGGTCTCAGTTGGAGGACGCTTTTCTTTACGGTTAAATAGCTTTTTGACAGCGAAAATGCCTCCAACGGCAGCTCCAGCTCCAATAAGGCGATCTTTCCAGGTACTCCCTTTGTTGCGGTCGGCACCGTATTTTTCATCGCTCAGATAAGATTCCGTAAAGTCAGAAGCGGTGACACGAGAGCGGGAATCTCTCCGGGAGCTAATGACTGTGCCACCGTGCCTGCTGCGAGTCCGGCTTCGAGATCTTCCTGAACCCAATGCAGCTAAACCTGCACCTGCTGCACCTGCTGCTGCAACCCTTCCCACACCTGGACCCCTGCTGCGGCGACTGCGTCTGGTACTGTACGAGCGATCGGTTATATAAGTGCTACGATCGTCAAAGTCCAATTCTGGCTGGCTTCTGTATGACAGGATAAAGTAGAGAATCACAAGGATAAATGTCCAGACGGCGAAGAGTATAAACAGAACCAGTGGCGATCCGTACAAGGTTAGACCTAGTGGAACCTGCGCAATTCCGAGCAGTGCAATGGCTCGTCCTAGCCATTGATGAATCTGCAAGTGTCAGTAATGAGTCATGCTACTGTCTGTTGTGTGCATACCATGAGCGTAAGGGGAATCTTGTATCTCTCCTTGCCTTTTTCTAGTCTGTGAATAACCGAGCCACCGAAGGCTTGGACAACGACAAGAGTGTACAAGCCTACGCCGATGCCATGATGCGGGTTGGTTAGAGACCTCTCAAGACCCACGGCTTGGAAGGCACAGACAATAGCAGCAGTCGAGAGGAGTACCGCGGAGACCTGCAGCCAGATGTGGAATCGCAAGGCAGTACGCGGGTTCCGGTGGTAGAAGCTGGCCATAAAAATGGCAGCAGGGATTACGAATAGAAAGGTAACTACTGCTAGTACGCCGTGGGCGGTTATGAGGGCCTTGTAACCAGGCATGTTACGAAAGCGATTGCCCATGCCTAAAAGATTAGCTTCGTCACCATGTCTAATAGCATACTGTTCGTACCATTCAAGCGCGTTGTCTCAAAGTTCAGTCCCTGCAGATTGGGGAGCAAGAACGTGTTGCGCTGCGAGTCCCATGTTCCGTCTCCGACATACATGGAGCCCGACGAGTAGACACTCGTTCCTGGGTCCGAGAGTCCATTGGACATTGTGCTAGGAAGATTCGTCGAGTCAAGGGTCAATTAGACGGTCCAACGGTCTAGTGGTGCCGTGATGGTGGATGCGAAAGCTGCCGACTGTGGGCGGCTTCAGCGACAAAAAAAGATTGGGTTGTCGCTATAACAATGCGCACATGTAGCAATGAACAGGAAGCAAATTGTCGTGACGTCGTTACAGGCGTAAGGGGGCGAGGGACAGCTTCGCGCCGTCGAAAAGCGGAGGCTGGTTGGGGCCTGAGGAGTTGGGTTCTGAGCGTGTCCGGGTGGACAGCTCGCCTTGGTGGGGTGAACGTCAGCTCGCGATGGTGAGCGAGAGTCGAGGGCGAGTACACAAAGGGTCTCCGGGTATGCGGTTAGGGTTTAACAAAGGTGTTTCTGGAGAGCTGCAGGTGTCCTGGGACATGGGAAGCGGTAGCAGCCAGCTCGACGAGACCGCCGGGCCCAGCCGCCTGCATGTTTATGAGTTTTTTTGGCCGGGCAACGTAATCGATAGGTGCATAGCGGTGAGTGGCTGGGGCTGGCCAATCACAGCGCCCAACGGCCCCTGCCCCAGCCGCCTGATTACCGTTCCAAGCGGCTCCCGAGATGCTTTAGCCCCCATGGCCGCCCTTGGTGCGCGATGCGCTGGCAATGAGGCGAACCGCTACTATGATGAGCATCATGTCGCTGCAGCTGCATCTGCAGGGCCACCCACACTCGTTCACCAGCTGCCGTGTTAAAGGCTCGACTGACAAGGCTGCTTGGCAACGACGCCAATCCGGAAAAAACGACAAAATCGACATTCAAATCAGTGGTATCTCGAGTGCTCGCCCCGTGTCCCTACACCCATAACGCCAGCACAGCCACGCCAATCCCATGCTTGCTTGTGAAATCCTCACCCCTCTACCTCTAGCATCTCCTCTAGTGCCTTTTCAGATGCCCGGAGCCACCTGCCTCGCTCCTCCAATTCGTCCCCTATACCGCCACCCTCTTCCCTCCTCCTCTGAGCTTCTCTGGCCGCCGCTACCGTCCCCTGCTTTTGTGTCTCTAGTGGCCGCAGCTCACGCTCCAGCTTCTCCAAGTCTCTGCCTCGGTTCGGAATGGTGGCCTGGAGACTGGCAATCTGTGCGTTAAGAGCTGCGAGCTCTGTCTCTCGTTCGCTGAGCACTCGCTGAGTTTCAGGAAGCGGAAGAGCAAGCTCGGGATTGGTTGAGGCTGGCGCTTGTTCGTGCTTCAATCGCTCAATGTTCGCCTCCAGCCCTTCAATCTCACTTGGAAGAGACTCAAGCTGTTGTGTCCGTAATTGCACGCCCTCGTAGCGTATTGCGAGCTCTTTGCCTTTGCCCTCCAACTGCTTCAAGATGTCGGCCACCTCCAACTTGCGCTTCTTGAGCTCTGCCTTCAGGCCCAGTATCTCCTTTTCCTTCTCATCGTTCTCGTGAGCGTCAACGAGACGAGGCGGGTTCTCGGTGATGCTGCGTAAGAACTTTTCTTTAGTGACTTGTTCGACATAACTGAAGCGGAGTTTGCTGAATAGTTCCTGTCGTCGTGATTAGACCTGACTCAAGGCAAGTCCTTATGCTTTGCATACCTTGTAATGTAACAAATCGGCTTCGAGGGCTGCAGGATGCGTGTCACTATTCTGTTCGCTATCCTCAGATGCTGCAGAGTTGCGCTTCTTCCCAGTTTGAGGGAGATCTTTTGGAGCCAGTGTCTCCGCAATGGCCAGAAGCTTGAGTGACTGTGATTGCTGTAACTGTTCCAACGCTGATGCTGGTGTCGGAACCGCAGACTTCCTTTTGGGTCCCATTTTGCTTGCTATATCCCGTGTTTTGGAGTATGAAGGAATTCAGGTGTTTGTTTTGGCGACGGTCGCGGCGGCTGGCATCTGAGGGCAGATTTCCCCGCGGCAGTTACCGCATGCAGACTAGTGTCGTTTGTTGGAATGATCACACATCATTCTTCGAGCATCTCAGGAGCTTTGATCTTTAGCAATCCTCACCCTTTTCTGGCCATAAAGAGCACCACAAATCATGGCGAAGAACCTAGACGATGACGAATATGTTGCAGAACTACTGAAGCAAGACGCAAAAAGCGCAACAAAGAAATATGAGCTTGTCGGCATCGACGCCTTCAATCCAAGGAGGTGCGTTCCAAGCCTGTGTGCCAGCCATGGCTTTATATGAGCGTTGAAAGTACAACAACACTCTCTATCCAGGTAGTTAATGCTGACTTGTCTCAGAGCAAATTCCAGCGCCCCAAAACCGAACAAGAACTTTTTACGAAACATCATCCGTCAAACCGACCGTCATAATGCAGCGCTGCTTGCAAAAGAGGCGGAAGAGTCTCGTGCGAGACTGAGGACGATGAACCGCGAGCGCAAAAGGAGAGAGATACATCATGAAGAGGAGCAAGAAAAAAGGGCCCCGGGAAGATTGACTCCAGTCCCAGGGGATGATGATTTCACAAAAGCACACTCTGATAGACGGCGAGACCATAGTGAGAGTAGAGACAGGCATAGGAGACGGCGAAGAAGCAAAGAGCGAGAACCTTCCAAGAATACTTCGCCCCACCGACACCGAGACAGAAAGCGCCACAAAAGGAGATACGACAGTGATGACGAGAGGGATTCTTCTCGGCAGAAACGTAGACGGTCAAGGTCGCCTCGCGACAAGGCTCACGGGCACAAAGGAAGCGACTCTGATGACGACCGGAGGTCACGGAGAAGAGATCGCGAAGAGCGTAGACACAGAAGACGAAGATCATACTCTGGTGCAACTTCACAATCCCGGTCACCACCACCTCGACACTATGATCGGCATGAAAAACGGCGCAAACATAGGGGATACTCTTCTAGAGATACCGAAAAAAACTCCGAACCTAGATCTGACCGGGAAAACGACCGTCCAAGCTCCAAAAGACGTGCCACTTCCCCAGCATCTGATTCCGACCCTCTCGAAGCCATTGTCGGCCCGCTTCCGCCATCTTCCGAACCCACGGTACGCTCTAAAGGCCGCGGCGCTTTCAAACCAAACTCTATGGGTATTGAGTCACGCTTCTCGTCTACCTACGACCCTAAAGTCGACGTCCGTGCAGACTCTGACAATGAAGACGACTGGGGTGATGCTTTAGAGGCGCTGCGTGACCGCGCACGCTGGAAGCAACAGGGCGCCGAACGTCTCAAGTCTGCGGGATTCACAGACGAACAAGTGAGGAAATGGGAGAGAGGAGAAGGACAGAATGAAAAGGATGTGGTTTGGAAAGGAAAAGGAGAGGCCAGGGAGTGGGATCGAGGCAAGGTGCTGGATGAGGACGGAGATGTTGAGTTGAAGGCCGATTTTGGGCGATTAAAGTAGGTAGTTTGTTTGCAAAGGACAAGTCTGCTCTCTTGGCCATGCGAACACCGCTTCATCTGTGTATATCTAGTAACACACTACGATTCGGATTCAACTGGTTAAAAGTTTATACAAGCATGTATCTGCCAGCATGTCCAGACAAGTATAATTTTTCCATCACCCTCAACGCGCAGAATCCTTTTCTTCCCCCCGCCCCTCAACCCTCATATTCCCCTTCATCTCCTGTGACACCTTCCTTCTACCCGAACCCCTCAATTCCCGTAACGAAACAGGCGGCCTCGCCCTCTTAGCCTTATTATCACCCAGACTCATCCTAAGCATCGCTCTCTCAAGCGTCGTAGTCAGTCTCTGAAGCAGCCACTGCGGCTCGGACACGTTGCCCATGAGCGGACTACGGAGGCCAAGCCAGCTCCAGCGCTGCTGCTTGCCATCGCCCGCAGACCCGATCTTGGGGGCTTCGCCGTCGTGGTAGTGGGTTTGGGCGTGGGGTCGCCGGTGGTACGAAGCGTCGCTTTCGCTTTGGCCGATTAGGTGTAGGTAATATTCCCATTCGTGGTACTCGTATTGCTTGGATGGCTCTATCTCGAGATCTTTTATGAGGGTGCGGATCTCTTTTGCGAGGACGTAGTGGTAGAAGTGGGTATCTAATTCGAGATTGTCATCGTATTGACTTGCTTCTTTTTCTTTCTCTCCAAAATCTGCTTCTTCGGCGTATGTCGTTAGTCGGTCTTGGGTGTAGTGCTTGTGTTCGCTAGCAGAATCATCTTGGTAGGCTTTCTTATCCCACTTGCCCTTTTTGATTCTTGTCCATCCAATTTTGAGTGCAGCACTTAAACCTTCTTCATCAGGTAAGACGGTGAGGGAGCCAAGCCAAATTGTGAAGTCTTTGAAAGCTTTGATGACCGTGTCGCCCATGTTGGAAATGAGGATTGTAAGGGTAGGGACCGCGACTAGGCTCCAGAACACCATAAAGGCTTTGCCCGCATTACTCTCGACGACGTAGTCCCCGTAACCAATCGTTAGCAGCGATACGTATGCGTAGTAGAGGGAGACAAAGTAGGAGAATCCTTGTGGCTCTTCTGAGTACCAGAACACTAGAGCTCCCATGAACCACAGCATCAACGCCGCAGCTGTTGACAGTGCCAAGGCAGTATATCTTCTCTTCCTTTCAGACAATTTTTGCACACGTCGCATAACGCGAAACTCTTGCTCACGTCTTTGCGATTCCTTCAAGCCCTTTGAGCAAAACGTTACTTTCTCAAAAAGCGAAATACGTATCGTCTTTGTTTCCTCATCAATCGACTGCAGTACCTTCTGTCTCTTGACTTCTGTGAACCGAGCCGTCATCTTTTGCTTTCCATGCTCGAGCACTAGCGACCTGATAGATCCGATTACCAGACCGACCGTTACTAGCCCTCCAATGGCGTATGGAATCAACAAAGAGCGACCAGTGTGCGTTTTTGGCACAAATTCTCCGCCGAATCCCATGGTGAGCAGTGTAAAGTTAGCCCAAAAGACCGCGTCCAAAAACGCCCAGTTCTCCACGTAAGAAAATATCAGAGCTCCTATGAGGAGATAAAACATAAAGGCAATGGTCTGCAGCATCAGCGTCCGCTGGCTAGCTGTGAGTCGGAATTCGCGATCATAATGCCCAGTGTACGCTCCAAACGCCGTAAACATCATCAAAGACGCGATGATGAAGTAAACCCCAGCCGCCATAATCGCATAGTAAAAAGCCTGGCTCAGTGCATGCTGCTGCATAGGCTGAATACGAAAGACCGATGACGAAGCGACTCCAACCAGCGCTATGAGCAGAAAGCTAGCCATGTAAAACCCAATGATGGTAATGGGTTGCGCAATAGCGAATTTGAGTCTTCTCGACATGTTGAGCAGCAGACTGGCATTTGCCGATAGGGCAAAAACGAGAGATACTGAGTTCACTGCAATGAGCCATTTCGGATCTGCGATTTTGGTTCCATGGGCCTCGTCGCTGCCGGGTGGGATGTAGACGCGCCATTTTTCAACCAGGGCGCAGATGGACATGCCGTTTGCAATTGGACCAAAGGTTCCTGCCATGAGTGGACTTGCTGTAGATGCAAACCACCATCGACTGCTTTCTTTGTTAGTCTAAATTAAACAACGAATACGTAGTTATAACAATACTGGCTACATAACTTGGATCAAGATACTGCCGTTCCTCGCGCTCCGCCTGCTCATCTTCGACTTCCATTTTATTTTCAACATCCTGGGCGGCTTCTTGCGCTGGCTCGTCTAGCCCGGGGTCGTTCATGGCTGCGAGGGGTATGTCGAAGTTTGGTGTTGTTTTTCTGGGAATCTGGTAGATTCCAGATGGGGGGGTACCCCAGTTGAGATAAACAAGATCAGCTGCGAGGTCGCGTGCACGAACAAGGAGGCAATGACGTAGGCGTGAGACATGTTAAGCCAGCCACATCCCTTTGTGTATAATATTATATGCAGATCAATGCAGTATCGAAAAACAATTTGTTGTCTATTTCCTGAGACTGCAGAAAGTAGCTGTTGAGTTTTAGTGTTGAAGCAGCTTTCTTGAAATTCTCTCCTTGATTGGCTACTGCAACCAGTTTATGAGCGACTGTATCTAACCACTTCGGACAGCCCTCTGTATCATTCAACACAAATGATGAGATTTTTTTTAGACTCCAATAGCTCCTATGCAAAGCCTATTATTTGAATTGTACGTTACATGGGGTTGCGACATTCTCCCTTATCTCAGTCTGGGTTATGGTGACGCAGTTACGAGGTATGCTATGAGTTTTGTCTAGCGATTTGGTATATTGGCGTACGCAAGAACAGCGTGGTTCAACAACAACGTATCCGTTTTATTATAGATTAGCAATGTCATTCCTGTTGAGTAAAGTAGCTAATAAAAAAACATAATTTAAGTTGACTATAGCCTGGGTGATAATGGAATCTATCTATCATTGCTGCTTTGGCTGCATATTATAATCGATCTTGGAGGGGGTTTTCGTGTAATTAGAAGAAACGCAATCTAATTAGCTAAGTATGGAGACCCTACTCGCTACACTACAGCTATTAGAGTAACTAACTAGCCAACCAACTAACTAACCAAACTGTTTTATATCATTTAGATCTACTGTGTATAACTTATATCTAGATATGATACTAGAATCGCCACTGTAGCTCCAAAAAAGACGGACGAAGAAAATAAACAATTGCACTTGGACCAGGGGCCAAAGGCGTTCAGCCCGACACACCTGTCACCCGGGCATAGCTGCACAGTACACGGCTGAAGCCGAGGACTTGTCAAATCAAATAAATTTAACATCTCACTAACATCAGTTCCAGGCGCCTTCAACCAAATACCCCCCTGTCTTTTGATCTTTATGCATGCTTTGAGATTCCAGCTCCTTGGAATTACATTCATCGAGCTAGACAGCGTGACAGTTTGTAGGCTAAGCCGCTTATGAACTCCCGTTTTCGTCTAATGAGTTCGAGTCATCGAGATTATCATAACAATATACCCAACCAATTTGGTCACCAAAGTAAGGGCTTTGCGGCGTGGCCACTTGCTCAAGGACTGCCTCCTTGTCTCCAGGTGCGACGAGGAGGCATATGATAGTTTCAAAGCTAGTGTCCGGTGACGCCGCAACCACCTCTACGCCAAAAATAGGGCCATCAGAAGCATTTATTGGTAGGAAATCGTCTCCGTCTCCATCAAATGCCTGTGTGGTGTTCAGGGCTGTCACATTAGGACAGGAGGCTAAGGAGAGATCCACTGTCAAAGCCGATGCAATGGCAACCGTAGTCGTGGTAATAATCACAAACAAGCACATGCTGTACATTCGAGTGCGAGGAAATTAATATGTGAGGATTGTGAAAAAGATCGATTTGTCATTATCTGTGTCCTCTGGTCTGGCTATAAAAAGGCTATCGGGCAATCTACGGTTGATTAGTAGGCAGCATTATACTAACAAAGCTTATGCATATGAAAATTGCAAAGTTTGCAACAGATCACTTTGGGAGAAACTGCTTACTGTTACAAGTAATCAGAGAGGTCCTCTTCCTAATAAGCACGGAGGGTTGAAAGCCGACCAGCGACCACGTTCGCGGTAACATTCGGATTACGTCGGTGTACTTTACTGGGGTGTGCAACTTACTATTAATGAAACAAGTTAATTATGCAGTGAGAACTGATTTCTGATATAGCTGGCCTGCAAGTGTCGTAGGCTAACCTTCCTTTGAGTTAGTTCTTGAAGGTTACCTTGGTATACTCAAATACTCTGAGCGTTACCGCTTGTCAGAATATGTAGGCAGATATCGCGATGGTTCGTGCGAGATCGTCGGTGATAGATGGAGTCCTCTCCATGGCCTGCTCGCAAAACGACTAATTATTAAAAAGACCCTTTGAGTCTCACACAGCTACGATAGCTCCCTCAATTAGCTTCTAGTATAGGTAACACTTAGAGAATTTAGTTTACAAGGATCCAGTTTTGCTTATCATAGTCTACTCCTCATCTGATGTAGCCTCTGCTGGTGATGACCTAGGAACAAAAGCCGATTGACCAAACCGTCGTGTGACATACAGTATTCAATCGCCCTAGTAGCTTTATTGCAAATGGTGCTATCACCATCACTGCTCCTGTACTCTATACTGTACACTTACTGCGAAGTTATCAAAACCAGGACTTGGTATTAGTGAGCTGACTGCTTGTCGAGATTTTCAGCACCATCCTTGTTCAGGCTAAATCAAATGAGAGATAGAATCTAAGGAGTGAAATTAGATCCCTACAAACTAAATGTCCGGTGTCTTACCCAGACTGAAAGCTAATTCTACAAGCAAGTGTCGCGTATGGAGTCCAAGGAGCAAGTTAAACATAGTCAGATATTGGGCTTATGAAAACTTAAAACAAAGTTCTCTATTTAAATAATAACATTAAATAAGCCCATAAATAGCCCCTTGTGTAGTGAAGTTCTGCTATGTATCTCCAAGGAATCCCTCTACTGAAAGCAGCCCCTTATAACAAGAACAATCTGCTCCAATTCTCCATCATTTGAGTATTCTTATTCGAAAATTTTGATATGTCGTGTTGTATCATGAATCGTGACTACACTGTCTTTACTCCTCTGCCTTCGTTTTAGCTTCTCTGTATATAGAAATCCTCTAACTTATGAAGATTCTCTAGCTTCTAAAGATCATCACTTTGATCTCCACTTTCACCATAACGAGGTCGCTCATCCCATCCGTGATAAAGATAGGGAGCATTCACTCCAACGCGCTGCAATGAGACGATTGGACGATTTTTTCGTACCAATGAGACAATCAATACGATACGCGCCCGCGGTCTGAAAATAAGCAGCTTAGGACTCGGACTACAGTTTTCTATAAGCCAAATTTAAATGCTGTGTGTACATGACACGGGCTTCTACGCGCACATCCTACCGCAATCCGGAATGTGTATGTTAGTCTAAGGCGGTTCAGCGTAGATTGCGACCCCGACCCCCCAGGCGATGCAGTTCACATAGTTTATGGTGACTGCTAATTAAACTACTTCTGCGTAACGCTTCTTAAAGATACGCTTTATATTGTTAATCTAGACAATTTACAACTTAGCCAAGCAGTAGAGCCAGTCTTTTAGAAAACTTTCACCTTTAAACCATTCCACATTACGAAATCTCTTGTAGAGATTACTACTAACTGCTGGACTACTCCTAGTAAATTCAAGGTCACCTTTGGCCGAATGGCTCTTCTAGGAGATACCTCTGGTGTGAGATATGAGCTTAAATTCTATTGGAAACATGTTAAATCGCATTTCTACGATTTTGCGGGAATTAAAACTATCGAGCAAGAAAACACTGGGGGAGATCACGAATATGAACTGTCTTACAACTATAATGGAGCAACAGATATGCAGTTCCGAGCGGTTACTGATGATCTTGATGATGTTGGTCCTGGAAAAGACCTCTTTCTTAATGTCTATTTTGGAGCTGCATCTTAAATAACGATGTATTTGATTAAGGTCGAAGAGCTATAGGGGAATGGCGAAGGGTTACTCAACGGGCAGCGTTTGGGAGCTAGTTTTGTTAGCCGCTTCTTCTCCCTTTGAACATAGAGCTATGTATACGAAATGTTTAGGCGTACCCTTTCTATGTCAAACATGAAATTTGTGTGCAATTATATCACTATTTTGTCTCCTGATTGCTTCCCGTCTAGCTGTCGGACTCCTAATCTGCCAATACTGATAGAACTGCCCTGGCGTGATGGCACAACATGTGACCCATGCGCCCCATGATGATCGTTACCTTTTGACGCAGACCTCTGCAAGTCACAATCTCCAACCGCGCCTCTCTTGCTTTGATGTCTGGCGCCAAGAAGAGAATCCATCCTGCTGCTTGTAACATTGCTCTCTGACTTGTTTTCCAGGTAGTTCTTTGGGTAGCTTTCTAGTTCGTTTTCTTGTTTTTTGGGGCTGGTTGGACTGGCGGAGATTCTACTGTTTGTTACGTGGCTAGACACTATCCGAATACTACAGATATCTCTGATTTATTGGCATAGATGTGCGACTTATGGGCGTAGAGATTCTCAGAGTTAATTTGATTGCATTTGTTTGTGGAAGAAATCCCCTTTGGGACTGATCGTAACATGTAGCTAAAGTTAGAACGACAATTACGTTAGCCTGTTGGTTGTGCAGAGCATAAGAGTTTTTTTTTCACTTTGAATGTATTTACCTGTTTCAGCGAGTATTGCTTTGAGACTACAAAGCCTTGGAATGTACTTGTGGGCTTTTTGTGGGCCTTGGTATTCGTGTTAAGTGATATTCCGTGACTATCATATTTTACTCTTGAGGCTTGTACCGCAAAGCGAACATGGCGATTCTAGCAACTGCATATTGAAAATCACTATGCCACTTATCACGTAGTGCCGGCACAGGAGACGCTCTCGTTATACATATGTACCAATAGAAATACGATCATGCTACCCTCAATGATCTCACGGCATGGATAAATACCTGAAAGCACTCACCCATCACCTCATCAGTTTATTTTACAGGCATGCGTAAGTAAAATGGTTGCATTCTTTAGTTTCCATTGCTTGTGCCGAAAGTTGCCTCTCAGAACCTCAATACCCACCTATCCAGCACACGACGACCGCAGGCTATTCATTCATATCTGAATTCACCTAATACTCTCTCAACTCACCGACAAAAGCAGCTGGTATCTCACCTGTCCTCGGCGTCACCGTAAAGGTCTGCGAGTAGGGTCGTGCCAAGCCACGCGGTGACGCACAGTGCCTGCCATTCCAGTATACATTGGGCAAACAACTGTTTGTAATCTCCTACTCACCTCGCCCACACCGTAAAAAACTTTCTACTTGTCCCTCGACTGCTGTCTCACTCCCCGCACCACCACTACACTACCTATCATTGCCAACATGTCTAACACTGATCCGCCTGATACCGTTGCTGGCGCTGCTGCAGACCGTGCGGAGCAGCTGGCAAAGGATCTTGCTCGTGCCAAAGAGGCTGGATGGACCAACCCGATCCCCTTCCGGTATGACACTGTTGTCGGCGGCACGCCTGCTGCAGACGAGACTCGCGACACCGTTCCCTGGCTGTCAGATGCCGCCGTCTATCAGTGGGATGATGACTTTGGTGATGTTGGTGAGCCCAATCCTGAGCTGGAGAAGATGCTCTTCCAGGATGAGTATCTGCAGCGTGCCGGTAGTGCGATCAGCGCTCTCTCATTCGAAGTCACTGTTCAAGGCCCTAACAAGATCAACCCTGTTCGCAACGTAAGGCACCCAATCTCACTTCAATAATCCGTACTGATCATTGGCATAGTTTGAGGATGCCGGTTTGCACCCGGTCATGCTTGAAAATGTCAAGTTGTGCCAGTATGGTGCTCCAACTCCTATCCAGTCGTATTGCATCCCATCCATTCTGACTGGGAATGACGTGGTCGCTATTGCGCAGACTGGTAAATATCGTCAACATTATGTTACTTGTAACATCGCTGACAGTGCTTAGGATCTGGAAAGACGGCTGCATTCCTGATTCCCATCCTCTCAAAGCTCATGGGTAAGGCTCGCCATTTGGCGGCACCTCGACCCAACCCAGCCCGCTACAACCCTCTTACGGACCGGGTTCGTGCCGAGCCTCTGGTATTGGTTGTATGTCCTACTCGCGAGCTCGCTACTCAAACGTTCGACCTGACCCGCCGCCTGTGTTACCGTACAATGTTGCGCCCTTGCGTTGTGTATGGAGGTGCTCCCACAATGAATCAGCGCCAGCAGCTAGAGATGGGTTGTGACATCCTCATTGCCACTCCAGGACGCCTCATGGACTTTATGCAGAACAACAATCTCCTTTCGCTCCGCCGCCTCAAGTACGCCAACTAGCTTACTGTTTATGGAATTTATGCCCTAACAAGCTCACAGGTTCACCGTCATCGACGAAGCCGACGAGTTGCTCTCGAGTGGCTGGGAGGAAGCCATGGAGAAAGTGTTCTCGGGTGCTGGTATGATTTACCAACCCCTTTTCTTTTCTATTTGCTGATGATTGTTGCAGACGTAAACTCTGATGCGGATCATACCATTGTCATGCTCTCTGCTACCTTCTCCAAAGCAGCTCGTAGGCTTGCCAAGGAGTACATGGAAGAAGACTTTGTCCGCATCAAAGTAGGAAGGGTCGGTAGCACCCATCGCAACATTAAGCAGGAGATTCGCTTTGTTGAGGACACAGATAAGAACGAGGCACTCTTCGATTTGCTCTTCTCTGGAGGCCCGCAGCGTTCCCTCATCTTCGTCAACACCAAGTTCAAATGCGATAAGGTCGAC